TGGGTGGCACAAAATTGATCGAAAAACATTTGATCGAATTGGAAATTTGATCGAAAATACATTTTATCGAATGGCATTTGATCGAATAACATTTGATCGAAGATATATTTTATCGAATAACATTTTATCGAAAAGACAATAGATCGAAAATTCATTAGATCGAAAGGACATAATATCGAAAATAAACATTAAAAATAGTAAAATGTCAAAACATCAAACGTTACCATTCAACCGTCCGTCTAATGATTAGACTTTAATCCCTACTACCAGGGAAACTAAACTAAGCGGCTATCAAAATTAGGTACTAATGGCAAATTTTTCAATAATCTCAAATGATAGCTACCTCGTTTAACAATACTTACAATACTGTTAATTTCAAAATAATTATTTTAGAGCTAAATAGTTATTTATCTTCATTGGGATTAAAGAAATGTGATTATTTCGCACAAAATATGTATTTCAATAAGGTCGAGTTGTCTCCCGATGGAACATTTTAGGAAAATTATTTTAAGTTTTTTTATATAAAACATTTAATTAATTTACCTAACCTGTGGGATCTGGAGCCGTTGCGATTTGCAAAAATTTTTTTTGGAAAAATAAGAAAAATTCAAACAAAAATTTTAACTAATTTACATAACCTGTGCGGCCTAGTGCCCTCGAGGGTTGCTTGGCAAAAAAAATTATATAAAAAAATGAAAAATAAGAAACCTAACTAATTTACGTAACCTGCGCCATTTAAATTTAACTGATTGCTCTCGCGTATGTTCGGTAAGTTAGTTTAGCTTTTTTTATTAAAAAAATGTAATTAATTTACCTGCGACCTGGATCCTACGCGGTTATCCTTGCAAAAAAAATTATAGAAAAATAAGAAAATTGAAAACAAAAATTTTAACTAATTTAGCCAACCTGTGCAGCCTGGAGCCCTCGAGGGTGGCCTCGCAAAAAAAATTATACAAAAAAGGGAAAAATAAAAAAACCCAACTTATTTACACAACCTGTGCTGCCTGGAACAATATAACTGATTGCTCTGACACAGGTTAGGTAAGTTAGTTTAATTTGAGGTAAGTTAGTTAAGTTTTTAAAAAACCTAACTAACTTACCTAACCTCTGTCAGAGCAATCAGTTAAATTGTTCCAGGCCGGTTTTCTTTATTTTTATTTATTTTTAAACAACTTAACTAACCTACCTAACCTGTATCAGAGCAATCAGTTAAATTGCTCCAGTCTGAAAACGTCGCGGTTTGCCTAGCAAAAAAAAATTATAAAAATAAAAAACTAATTTACCTAACCTGTGCTATTTAAATGATTGCTCTCGCACAAGTTAGGTCAGTTAGGTACGTTACTTAAGTTTATTTTATTTTTTCATTTTTTGTTTTTGCGAAGCAACCAGCGATGATTCTAGGCCGCACAGGTTAGGTAAATTAGTTAATTTTTTTTTTTTTATTTTTCTTATTTATCTGTAATTTTATGAATATTTGATTTTTCGATCAATTGCTTTTTCTATCAAATCTATTTTCGATCAATTTTCTTTTCGATCATTATTCTTTTCGATCATTATTCTTTTCGATAATTTTTCTGTTCGATCATTTTTCTTTTCGATTAATTGTTGTTCGATAAAATGTTTTTTCGATCAAATGCATTCGATCAAATGTTTTCGATCAAATGTATTCGATCAAATGTTTTCGAACAATTTTGTGCCACCCAAAGTATATATCTAACTCTTAACAATCTAATATGTGTACTCAAAAAAATTATTGTCAAATTACCAAACCCCATAAATTTGAAACGTCACAATAGTAAGGTCAGTTTTGTACGATCAAATTATGAAAAAAATAAAGATAATTTCTACAGCATTGTACAATAATTTGATTTTAGTCATCTGGTAATACTGGTGATAAAGCAGTCAAGTAGATAAGCACTCATGAGTTCGAGAATAGGGTGCCTGGACGTCGAGTGCCTAACCATCAAACTTTTTCGAACGTTTTTAGAAACATTTTAGAAAAATAATTGTGATTATTTATAACTACTGAATTGTAGGTATTTATATATATCCGGAAACTACAAATATATACTCACTATTAGTTGTGTCTAATGCAGATCGTCTTGGTAAATATCAAAAGCCACCAACAGTCTGTTGCCCTAGCATCATAAAATAGAAAGAGAAACGCAATGTCTTGTCAATTATTTTATATAAAAGACCGGCATATCGTAACTACTGTCACTTTTATTACTAATAAAGCCTTATTTAATAACCATATGTGTGATGCAGTTCATGCTTATTAGGCACCCAAACGAGTTATAATCTGATTTGCAAAATCACTTTGGAAAAAGATTCAATAAAATCAATATTTTATTCGCTTTAGGAATATACGGAATGGTTTTCATTGGTTTAGATTTGGAAAGCAAAGCTGGCGACTATAAAGATGGTAATTATTTTTCAGATATCCTTGACCAGATTGTGAAGAGGCGTAATTAATATCACATTACATTTCAAGTTTTCAATAATTTGCTAAATCTTTTTAGTATTTACAAAAAACACTTATGTGCTGAACTCTCTTTCCTCCATGTAATCTTTTGGACAGTTACATGTAAATGAATGAAATTTACGGTATTTTAAAATAGACTAAAAGATATTATGGCTGTGGGCAATAAAAAACTTGTATTTGGAGAAAAATTTATTTCAAATTACAAAGCACTTTCTGCCTTACTATAATTAATACTTCTACAATAAATAATTGTTGTAAATGAAATTTTGAAAAATTTTATATTTAAAAATGTTCATAAATTAAAAGTGCAATGCTAATAAAACTAATCAGGTTAGCATATTTAAAATTTAAAAAATCAATCCCGAGGTTAGGCTTGTATGGAAGAACGATATTAACCAAATTTTTAGTTTCCACCAAATCGTCTTCGGAAAAACCACAGACACAAACCGAATGATATTTTTTTTATCTTAAATTGGTTGGAGTGATTTTGCCTGAAATAAAAGCGTTTGAGTATAGAAACTAAAAATTTAACAGGACTAGTGGTATTTGAAAAGATTATTTTTTATATATATAATAATCTTGCATGAAAAAGACGCAATAGACATATTTGGAGTAGGTAATAAATAATCTAAACGCTACTTATTAAACATATTATAAATATGTTTATTTTATAGTAATTTTTTATCCTTTAAAAGTTTGCCGGGCATCCGCAAAACCGCGGCGACATATAGTAGATTACTTTATTTTCGATATGGTGGGCATTGGCATCGCATCCTATTATAAGTTGGAGGTTAGCCCTTGCCGCATATGAGACTATTTCACATGTGGGGACATATCTCCTCGGATGGGAAATATACAGAACACACTAACCATCTTTTTGTTTCTTCTTCTGTCGGCGTAGTTAGCAGAGCTGTAACAATATCAGCGGTGCACACAATCGGTATTGGTACACAATTTATCCTATTGTATAAGATACATGCGCGAGGTCTTTTAGTCCTTTCGTTATACAATATCTTACCTTGGTTGGGTTTTAGGCCTTTTATCCTACCCTATCCTATCTTGCAAGAGGGCCAAATCTAGATCCTCTTTGTCGAACCTCCTACAAACTGTAGTGGTGGCCGCCTTGCCATGGTGGAGGTTCGTCTGAAGAACCCTGATCGTTCTGCTCAGTTCTGTAAACTGATCAGTTTGACTGCTTTCTTACAAGCCTCTCGGATGTTCATGGATATAGTCTCCTCTTGGGCTTCTTGCCTCTTGAGGGAACTGACCCCACTATGGGAAGACGACTCCACCTCGCCGTTCTCTATTAAGGTTGCCTCCTCTGCAAAGGAAACTTTGGTGTCCTCTTCCCTGCTGTGCGAAGACTCCACCTCATCGTTCTCTACTAAGGTTTCTTCCTCTGTAGAGGACTCTTCGGTTTCCTATTCCCTGCTTGTGCCTGGATTATTCACCATTTCGACGGATTCTTCGCAATGTCCTCCTTTGACTCTGAATTTAAATCTCTTTAGATCATAATAGGGGGACATGTCCAGCTTCTTTAGCTTCTCTAGAAATTCAGGATCCTTTGAGAAAGCCCACGGTTGACCTTTTTCCTATGGAGTTTTACCCCACACTGTCCAAAAGTGTATATTTAACCCATGGTTGGCTATTTTTAACCTTTTGAGTTTTTTACCCGTCGGACCTTCAGCCTCTTTCGTCGGGGACTAATGTTGTGCAGGCTAGAGCTACCTCTTCAAAAGGTTGGATGGTTGTTACGTTTTCCTGCAACCAGTCTGCACTGGTTCGGTCCACGCAAGTCAACACCAGGTAACTTAGCCGCACTTTGTGAACATCGCCTGTGTTTGTGGGAATTTTATCGTGGGCCTCGGAGATCGAGAATAGACTAGTGCCACGTTTGAGAATTCACATCGGATGCATATTTTACATCTCGAGCGTTTTTTTATTCACATTGGACACATCTGTCCCATTATATTTACGTATACTGAATCACATGATCAAAGATTTACTACATCTCAGATGCATCCGATGTGGATTCTCAAACGCGGCATAGTTATTTAGTTTTCTGACTATTTAGTCGATAATTACATTGATGAAAATTCGAAGTTTGCACCCCAAGCACACGACTAATGATGAAACATAGGCGTCTTTTAGAGCCAGTCCGTGCTATTGGCTCATTGTATTTCTGCCGAACATTTATCTTGAAAATTGTTTGTTTTAACACTTGGATAAGGAGGTATCTGCTGGGTTGTGCCATTATTGTTGTAAATCCTTGAAAATTTAACATGTTTATAGTGGGCGTAAGTTATAAATTTCATTGGAAATTATATAAAATAATTGAATTTACTTTTTATACGGCTTTGGCCAATTAGTTTGATATTTTTTTATAGACTATACAGGGTTGGGCACAAGAAATGTATTTTAAATGTAAATTATATATTTCATTAAAGAAACATTCACTATCTTCATTCTCGCAAAGTTTTTATTTATCTTATTTTTTTTATTTTTCCTGTTTGACCTATGTATAAATTTTACTACTTTTCTCTGAACTCATGCTTTTCTTCTGTTCTTCCTGGTCTCTTACCTGTAATATATAGTAAAATATAATAATATTTAATAATAAAAATAATATATTAGTAATACCCCCTCTATTTAGCCGACTAGTCAAGAGAAATGATTTGAATAGGGTCAAATATTCGATGTAAAAATCTTGCATGAACAATTTTACAAAAATCCGTCTAGACCAGCGGTTTATAAAAAAGGATATGGAATGACTACGAAGCTCAGGACTCGAAGGTGATTGTAGCAGTTCAAGATTAAGTTTAAGCAATTAGATTATCAAAAAAACATTTTGAAACATGTATAGAATGTGTTTTAAAGTCGAAGAATCCACTAGTACTATAATAGTTGGATATTATACGCTAGGCTTCCTCTAAATGTACCCATAGACACAACAAAGTTTCTGCATATCTACTCCAATAAACTAACGCACCACTTATAAATTTCTAAATATTTTATTTGTTAAATTAAAATAAGTAATCAAACATTATATATCAATAATTTTAATTAATTTACTCCCAAACAAAGCATTTTTTAACAATGTATTCCTAAGATTAGGCCGTAGGGAAAAAATGAGGGGAAAAATTCAAAAATATAAACGTGAAGTTTTGAAAGAAACAAGAAGTATCAAGAATGTATATGAAACTTTTTAATCCTAATATCGGATATTCCCACCCCAACTTCTAATCGTCTCCTGGCATCGGCGTGTCAAGCTTAAAATAAGATTTGAAATGGTGGTTTGTTCTAGTCCGTCCCAAATTTCAATGAGAAGTCGCCAAGTTATTAGGCCGGTTTGGATGAGCATGTAACTCTCTTCCGAGTATATCTCAAACATGTTCTATTGGGTTAAGGTCTGAACTTCGTACTGGCCAGGCCATAGTGTCAATGCCCACTTCCAAAAATAATCTTGCACTACTCGAGCTGCATGAGGTCGGGCATCATCTTTCATTAATAAAAAGTGTTGGCCAATGTGAGGGGCAAATAGCACAACATGCTTCTGAAGAATGTCCAATATACAGGGTGGCCACTTTTTTAATGGGATTGTATTAGTAATTTCCAAACCATACTAGTTAGAAAGTCGGTTAAATGGAGAAAAAGTTGCGTATCTCGAATCATAATCTAGCGGTGAAAATTAATCGAGAATAGCAGGCACGGTTCTTGAGATATTTCGATAAAAGGAAATTCGATCATTTTGGTTTTTTGGTTATCGTTCATTTATTTTCAGAAATACTAAAAAATATTTTAAAGGTTTTTTATTTGATAGTAAATTTTCTTTGATTTGACGTTTTCATATTTTGAATCCAACGTTTCGTATTCTCCAGACCACCATCAACTTTTTTTTTTAAATATGGGCCTGGGTATTTTATAACATTATTTGAAATAACTTTTTATCCTGCATCCAGCGGTGTATTACACAATGGCATTCATTGACAGTTTTTGGGTAATATGGACCGTAATCCAAATTTTATTGGTACGGATCATCTGTATTGAATTTATAATCAGCGTTAATTTTTTCAGTGTATAATACTTCGAAGATAAAGTGATTATAATTAGGAAAAAATAAATGAGAATTAATAATTATTCAATTATTCGACTATTAAAAAGTATGTTTTGAGAAGGTAAATGATTAAAAGATAATCTCGATTCTATTTTTGACAATACATACCTACCAAATTTGAAGGCAAAATATTAATTTATTACTGGCACAGCAATTGATATGATTTTAAACTAATATCATCTTACTTGTTATAAAATATAGTAGGCCGTGAAAACAATCCATATTACAAGAACTGTCACATTATTATTGTTCTTTATTGCTTTACGAAAATTTCTCATTGTTCAAAAGTTTTTTGTGTGTTTCTTGGTACCTAGTCTAACTTCAATATGGTAAGATACACTGCAGAAGAAAGACGAGATATGTACGAATTATACATCAAACTGAACAGAAATTCGTTCAGAGCAAAACAAAGGTACGAGGATTTATATCCCGACAGAATGCAACCAAATATAAAAAATTTTCGGCGTTTGTCTACAACTCTTCTCGAACATAATACATTCGATAAGGCTAGAGTTCCGTATGTTCGAAGAAAGGAGCCAGTCAACGATATTAATGTCTTAGCTCAAATTCGAATAAATCCAGGAGTTGGGTGCAGGTGAATGTAACTTATCAAAAAGTGCTGTTAATAAGATAATCAATAGACACGGATACCATGATTACAAATACCAAGCTGTACAAAAACTATATCGTAATGATCCTGAAAGAAGATTGCGATTTTGTAATTGGTTTAAACAAAAGGTAATAATTAATAACAACTTTGCACACAATATCATTTGGGGAGACGAAACAACATTTACAAATTCTGGTATGTTCAATCGAAGAAATAATTATGCCACGGAAAATCCTCACCTAATCCAAGAAGTGAGACATCAATATCGTTTCTCTTTGAATATGTGGTGCGGTTTGTTAAATAATAAATTACTGGGACCATACTTTATTGACGGAAACCTTACTACAGAAAAATATTTAGATATACTGCAGGATATGTTAGATGATCTTCCTTTAGAGTATCGTCTTAACGAAATCTGGTTCCAACAAGATGGATGTGGTCCACACAATTCACGAATGGTCACGGATTATTTGAATTAGACTTTTCCCAATTCATGGATTGGAACAAGAGGTCCAGTGGCGTGGCCTGCCAGATCGCCAGATCTGAATCCATTAGATTTTTATTTGTGGAGACGTCTCAAAAATAAAGTGTATAATACACAAAATGCAACAATTGAGATTCTCCGCGAAAAGATTGAAGATGCATTGGAAGATATCCAAGAAGAAGAAATAAGCAATAGCATAAGAAATATGAATATCAGAATTGCTAAATGTATTGAAGAAGATGGCAGGCATTTTGAACAATTACTCAATTAATTTTATTGATATTTTCAAATAATTTGATTATGACTAACAAAAACTGAATTTCTTTTTGTTATTATCATTAATTGCGTTTTAAAATTTCTACAATACTGTTGTTGTTGTTGATGAATTGTTTAATTTTCGAAAAATTAAATAAATTTTGTAAGAATTGATTTTATTTTTTATCGAGGAGCATGACATGTTGATTCAACTAAAGATGGCTGAAACCAAGCGTAAATTAAATAAAATTTGGATTACGGTCCATATTACCCAAAAACCGTGATTGAATGCCATTGTGTAATACATCGCTGGATGCAGGACAAAAAGTTATTTCAAATAATGTTATAAAATATCCAGGTCCATATTTAAAAAAAATAAGTTGAGGGTGGTCTGGAGAATACGAAACGTTGGATGCAAAATATGAAAACGTCAAATCAAAGAAAATTTACTATCAAATAAAAAACCTTTAAAATATTTTTTAGTAGTTCTGAAAATAAATGAACGATAACCAAAAAACCGAAAAGATCGAATTTCCTTTTATCGAAATATCTCAAGAGCCGGGCCTGCTATTTTCGATTAATTTTCACCGCTAGATTATGCTTCGAGATAGGCAACTTTTTCTCCATTTAACCGACTTTCTAACTAGTATGGTTTGGAAATTACTAATACAATCTCATTAAAAAAGTGGCCACCCTGTATATCTTTCAGCATTTAGATTTCCATTATTTAATACCACCAAGTCAGTGCTTGCCTTTAACGAAATTCCTCCCCAGACCATAACCGAGTCTCCACCGAATAAAGTGGTATTCATGAAATTGCATTGTGCGTAGCGTTCATTTGGCCTTCTAAAAACACGAGCTCGTCTATCGCATGTATGCATGCAAAAGCGTAACTCACCCGCCCACAAAACTCGTTCCACGGTTAACTCTGGACCTCGGGCAGCAATGTAAGGACGCAGATTGGCTTCCAGAAGTCATTGTCGGACGATTTCCAGACTTACTTGAACATTATCTACGTTTTGAAGTTGGGATTGTAATATTCTTGTTGTCACAAATCGTTGTCTTAAAGCGGCAATCCTTAAAAAATGATTTTGACCGGGGGTCGTTGCACAATTTGTGCCTTGCTCTGCTCTTCTGGTATGCTCACCAGCTACCCTGTATCGTTCAACCATACGCGATACTGATGTATGGGACACACCGAATCTTTCACCTATTCGGCGATAACTCCATCCTTATTCGTGCAATACAACCGCTTGAACACATTCAGCAAGCACCAAATTTCGGGATTCGCGTTGCTTCTTAACAGTTTAAACATAAAAATATCGAAGTGCGTAAAAGGACAATTCAAACAGGAATAAATCAAACCACTAACTGATAAGTCGATTTATCTTTCAACGATTGTTAGTGCTACAGATAAAAATGCATAGTAAAAAAATTATCTACACCGTCAAGAACTTTATGTAATTCTTAAAAGAAACAATATACAAGGGTATTTCGAAAAGTGTTAAAATATTGTTCAGTTTGTTTAAAGTGGCCATATTTTTCACAAAATATTAAGGAGTGCGTTAATTTCTTGGAGCAGTGTATATTCATCGGAATATATCCAAAGAAATGGAACTAGAAGTAACAAATAAGTATTACTAGAATATCCCGGATATTAATAATTTTGCGTGATAGGACAATCTTAGCCGAAAGATCAGACATTGTGTTGCATGATAAACAAAACATGTCTTCTGATCGATTTAGAAGTAGATAAATATAAAGGCCTCCAAATTAAAATAGGCAGAAACTGAAAACGAAAATCAGTAACGATTATAGTAGGATCACTGAAAACAATAAAAAATGCACAATTATCTAAACATTTGTATAGAGTATACTGGGTCCCCACTTTTTCATAAGGACAGTATTGCTATTTTCCAAAGTGTAAAAGATAGCAAGTTGGTTAAATTAGACAAAAGTTGCGCATATAAAGCTCTTTTAAGTACTGCAAAGAAACACGAGACTAAAATTTGTCATTTTCTTAAATTCATTATAAGTCAAAAACTAACAGTTTTAGGAAAAATTGACTAATATTTTTTTAGTAGAAGATGTTCTTTATTATTTTCACCAAAGTTAAACCATGTATTTCGTTTCTTTTACGATGTACAACTTTTGATTTTTTTATAGGCACCATAGTTGATTTTTGTCCCTTTACAATTTCCATATTACGTAAGTTGAATGTGTTTCAAAAAAGCGAGAGAAATATAGTATGAAAAATACAATCAATGAGATCAATATATTGGCATTAATAAACATCAGTTCTAAATTTTCTACAGATTTTAATGCGAAAGATTGAAGAATAAGTCAAAGAGATATCCAGAAAATTCTTAAGAAACAAAAATATAATTACAAATTTAAAACTGTTCAAAAACTTCATCCCGGAAATTCCAAGCGTAGCTTACATTTTGCAATTGGTACCAATGAATGTTACAAGCAAATGCATCGTTTTCAAACAATATTTTATAGACAGATAAAACAACATTTACAAATTGTGGCATTTTTAATCGAAACAATAAATATTTTTATGCTAAAAGTGATCCATATTTAACCCAGCAAACCAGACCACAAATTCGATATAGCTTTAACGTGTTGTGTGCGATTATTAAAAACAAGGTTATTGGTTCCAAATTTATCGTAGGCAATTTAAATGGCAATTTATTGACAAAAGTTCTAGATGAAATACCTCTAGAAGTCCGACAAAATATTAAGTGGTTTATGCAAGATGGTTGTGCAGCTCACAATTCTGCTTTCGCCAGAAACTTTTAAATGTATGTTTTCCAAGAAAATGGATTGGAACCAATGGCCCTACAAGGTGGCCGCCCGTTCACGGTGCATTAATCTTTTGGACTATTATTTATAAGGTTATAAGGGTAAAATTTATTGTAATGAAATAGTGTTGAGGAGTTTTGAACAAAATTTATAAATCAAGTTTTTCTCTTTATTATCGTTAAGATCGGTTTCAGATTTAGGTTAGTTTGTTTAGTTAATAGTTTTTAGTTATTGTTTTTATTGTTAATACGTTAATAAGCATTAAAAATCAGAATAACGTGTAATAAGGATTATCTTTATCTAATGGTATAAAAATCAAATATGGCGCCCATAAAAAAAACAAAAGTTGTACATTGTATTTCTGAAAAGAAACGAGATACACGGTTAAACGTTGATGTAAATAATAAAGAATATTTTCTACTAAAACAAAACATAAGTCAATATCTCGGGTTTCTTGGCAGCACTTACAAGAGCACAAAAATGCGTAATTTTTGTCTAATTTAACCAACTATCTTTTACAGTTTCCCTATGAAAAAGTAAGGACCCTGTATATTAGTATAAGTATAAATAACACGCATGGCTTGGGAACAACACACTATAAGATGCTAGGAGGAAAACCTTTGATTCTTTCTGAATATCTTGATATTTTTGCTCCTCTAGACTCTCTAGAGCAGCGTATCTTAAATTATGCCCCGTGGAACCCTGGGGTACCGTGTAGATAATTTAAATTATCGTTAGTTTTGCGATCTCTGAAGCAAATAAATATTATTTTAAATAATTGTCATTTTTGTTGCATATAATCCATTTTTAAAACCTTGCTTTAAAATCATAATATTAAAAGATTCCATGGATTCCGCAAGATAAAAGAGAACATTAAAAAGGATTCCACTTATCAAAAAGATAAAGAAATGCTGCTCTAGAGCTAACTTATATAGTTATTAATTACCTTTATTGCTTCAATCATTTCTTTAAACAGATTTTCTCCAAGAGTTGGAACATTATAAATACAGTGCAGCACTTGATTGATATGCGCCATCAGTTGCGCGAAAGCATCGCATCCATTAATGTCAACTAATTTGTTAAGTTCCACTTTGAAATTTCTCAACTGTGTTTCCAATTCTTCTAACGTATATTCATCCCACTCAGCTCTTTTCAACTGCTTCAAATAAGTTTTTACTAAATTAATGTAATCCCACATTATTTTCATTTGTTTAAGCTCTCTTCGGACAACTTTGAGCGGCAGATTCTCTGGAAAATATAATTCTTGCAAATTGGCTCGTTTTAGCAGAGTTTCCTCTTCTTCTTCCAATCTCACAAGTGTTCTGTAATAATGGTCGATTCTCCTATAGGCATCTTTGCAATTCCAATTAAAAATTGGAGAATTTTTAAATTGGTTTTTATAACACATTTGCCTATAATCGAATAATCTAATTTTTTTCAATGTGGGCACAAACTCTCTAGGTGAAGTAGTATCATTTTTTACTTTAAAAATATTTTTCTTTTCTGGGCCCTAAAAAAATTACTTTTAGGTTATTTTTAATTTTTTGAGTCGTTATTAACTCTTTTAAAGATGTATAAAATCAAAAATGTATAACGATTACCAGAGCTACTTAAAAGTACAGCAATTTAACAATGTTTTACATTTTAATGCTTAAAACTCTGAAATCTCAATGGTCTTTAGAAGAGCGATATCAATAAAATCAGTAAATAACAAATTTTAAGTTTTACGATTTGCATTTGATAGCCTGTTCTGTAATAAAAATGGTGTTTTATAAAGTCTGGTATAATTGACATTTGAATAACTCTCAGAGTCATACGAAAAAGAGTTAACAAGAAGAATATTTCGAGTTAAAACAAATTAAAGCAAAAAGATCACCAAAGAATATTTTTGGTCCTGTTTCTAAATGACTGATATACCAGAATTGCATGATGTCAAAATCGGTACGTTTGCTGATAATACTACATACCTAAATATAAATTTAGAAACTATCCAAAATGATAAATGAATGCCAGGTATGAAAATACGGCTAAGTATCGAGGTAAGAACTGAGATGCTATGCTTAGATGGTATGAGTACATCAAGAAGACAAGAAAAGAGCTATATGCGAAACTTAATAAAACATACTGGTTAATTGTAGTATAGCAATTATCAGTATACAACAAATTGGGTAATGTAGAGTGATGTAGATATCATCCATGGATTTCAATCGATCCTCCAAAATTATTGTAGACACTCTCTGGTATATTTGAAATACAGATTTACACAGGGACAATCAAGAACGTTAAAGAACAAATCCAGAAATATTCCAAAAAAAACTTGATGCTAGACTTCAAATAAATGTCAACATCGAGGTGCGTCAGCTTCTGGACTATCATGAAACAAAAAAAAAAGACTGAAGAAGCCAAAATTTTAAGATCTTATGTAAGGTAAAAGTGAAAGTATTTTAAAAGCAGAGCACGGTAAATTAGAACTAAGTATGTAAGAAATAAATAAAGAAGAAAACAAACCAGTTAGTATCTGAGTGATGTCTGATTTTTTATTAAGTTTTTTTAGTACATTTATGTTAAGAAAAAATTGTTTAATATATGGAAAATAAAAAAAAATGGATACAAAGGTACCTACTTCTGTATACCAGAATGTACCTGTAACATTCTTTTTAAATGTAAAAATTTTACTAACATCTGTAAGTTAGCTGTAGTATAAACAATAACAATAAATGTATTTTATTCTTTTTACATTATAAAAAAAAGTTTGGAATTTAAAAACAAGTATATAAAAAATGATGTACTTTTATAGTACCTCTGGAAGGCAAAGGAAACATATTTTACCGAATGTTTGCCAACGTCTTTCTTTCTCAGTGAATCAAAATTACCTATCCATTTAGTAATCTTCTTCGTTTCCTTCTTAACTTCTTTTTTTATCTCTTTTTTGGGCTCTTCAAAATGTATCCTTTTTTTGGTAGACATTGAGTAGTCGTACTACAATGTTCTTTAGAAGTCACTAAAAATTAATTTTTTTCAAATTTAGACGTAATCCAGTTTCTATCAAAACTGAAGTTCGAATAAATGTCAGTCACATTATCGGTCAATTTTGTTTTTAAATAAAGGCCTTGTTTACTGATAACTAAGCTTGTTTATAATAAATGGTTTCAAGACACATAAATTTGAGACCTGACCTATTAAAGTAAAGCTTAATAAAATAGGAATCAAGAAAGAACGCAAAAACGAAACTTAACATTTAAAAATCGTAAAAATACCAAGGAAATTTGTATAAGAAGATATCTGATTAATTTGCTGTAATGAATCACTCGTTTGAAATCTGGGTTTCTCCCCCAGAGTCGTCACATGGACTTACACGGTCATCTTAAGACTTAGCTAATATACGGTGCAGTTTCATAGGTATCGAAAACCCAACAATTCGAAGGACAACATATCTCCACATAACAAGAGTCATGAAAACAACATCAACCAGAGCCATGGAAGTTATTCCTAGTTTCATTCTCTTTGATATTTAAATCAAGAATAGAAGTACCTGGTTAAGCAGGACATTGGTTTCATAGGAGGCCTTAATGCGTTTTTTTTTGCTCACAGAGATATACCTTCCATAAGCCATATAAAGTTAGAACGAAACAAATAGAAGTCATAAGTGACAGGTACGATTCTATCTAAAACGACGGTTCTAAAACAAAACAAGGTCCAGGATGTGGAATATACTCCACATTTTTAAACCCAAATATAAAATGGGCTATGAGCTATAGTACCAGAATAGTTCAAACCGAGCTCACGAGGATTCCTATAGCAGCAAAAGAAGTTACTAGAAACAATATCACTGGAAGAAATATGCTCCTCTATATAGATGGCAGAAAAGCACTACTCATCCTTCACAGATCACGAATTTACTCAGGGTTAGTACTAAAATGTCACAAAGCTTTGGCCGAAGTATCCGTCAATAATATGGTCACCTTAAGATGGATCAAAGATCTCGCCATCGCATCGAAAGGTAACCATCTTGCTAATTCACTAGCCAAGAAGGTAGCTAACCAAGTATCGGTAGTGACAGACCTAATTAAAGAACATTCCCTTGTGAAATTCAAGAAAAAATGGGATGAAGCAAGAAACTGCTGAATTGCTAGGGAGCTTTTATCATGACAACACTACAGCAAACACATACTTGACTATGTCTAGACAGAATCTGCGCCGCGGTTTATGACTTCCTACTGTATGTCAGCACATTCATAGCGCTGAAACACGGTAGGAAATCTGAAGATCATGCCCGCTCTATGTCACTTTAAACCATACGTGAATTGTGTGCTGCAGTCCAGGAGGAATTCATGAGCGTACAAAGGCGTAAAAGCAGATGAAATCCTACCTGCTGATAAAATTGTAATTATTTTTGAATGACAGAGTTGAATAGTTTTGTTATTATTTTGTAGTTTGGTTCACAAGTAAAAAATGGAGTTAATTCTTGCTACTGGTATTCTATATATTGAGTTGTTTTTACAATAGGTCTGATTATTAGAAAGTATTTTAAATACATTAACTTTATATTTTTAATATATTGGTTTTCTCTTGATCAAATGAAAAACTAACAGAATATAATGTTTTTATTATATCAATATATTTTGTCAATTATAAACGGTCTTTACATGTATTAAGAAAATTAATTTATTTTTTAGCATTTGGCACATTACTGTTAATATTGCTTAGTAGTGAGTGGTTTCGTTTTTTAGAAATTCTTCCTGAGTGAACCCGATTTCTTGTTTTTGCTCCTGCAGATGTATATTTTCTTCGACTGATTGCTGTTGGTTGTACTTTTATTTTCCTACTTCTTTTAAACGTCATTTTATTAGGTATTAAATCGACAGCTTGATTTGACGTAACGATTTTTTTTAAGTGATTGGTAAGTGAATTCATTGCTTTTAAACTACCAGAACTTGGATTTTGCTTAAACGTTTCCACTAATCTGTTAACTTCTTTTCTTAAATTTAACAGTGTCGCTTGATACTGAACTTCAAATTGTTGAGTATTTATATCATTCGCCAAATTCTCGGAAGGAGGATTCTGTTTACTAAAATTGGCCACACTCTGCTCATGTTCGTTCGAACTAGAATTTGTCATACTTTCATGAAATGTTTCATCGACTTCTCCCAAAGCTAGCTTAGCAAACATAATTCGATCTTTAGTGTCTATCTTAGGTGAGTTTTGGAAGACAAAATTATGCTGATTTTCAACAGCGTAAAGATGTTTGCAGAATGTTCCACTTTTTCCGGCGACACAATCACAAAACGCTGCATCGATGTTTATTGTAAAGAACACTTTGTCATCTTTACTTGACGAAACATTGAATTCATGCGAATTTACTCGAATCACTGTTAACGTGTCTTCTTTTTTTGCAAAATCAGAATAAAGATTGAGTTTGTTTCGCCTCATGTTAGCAAAATCCAGTAGCCGACGATGATGGTAGTTTTCAAAAATTGTGGTTATAAAGTCAATAAGTGCACACACATTGAACACACGGCATCTCTGTAGTATAACATCTTTCAGTATCCTAATTGAAGCTTCGGTGTAATTATTGGTATTATGGCCACGAGTAATAACATCAGATCTGTAAGCTATAGACCAATCTTCTTTTCTTTTCCAAATTTCATTTAAATGAAAGCATAGTTTTTAATTTTCTTCTACAAAATTATTTTTCAATAAATCATTAAATCGAGTTTCGGCTTCAGTAGGTGTAATTGCATACAACAAATTACGAAATTCTAACATAATGTGTTGTCTTTTTGTTTTATCAATACCATGACGTCCATCGCAGAGCCAACGCCAAAAAGCTTGTGAGACATGAAAAGCACAAAGCAGTAATCGAGATTTTGGAAAAACAGCTTGAAGAGAATTCCTTTCAGCTTGACTGTCATCCGTCATAATAACACTGGGTTCGAAACTGTCTTTTTCAAGTGCCTCTTTGATAGCCGAGAATGCTAAAGTGTAGTTAGCTTCCGACTGTTCAGTGTGCAATACACAAGCTATAGGAATGGCACCCACTTTATGAGCCGTAAAACAAAATGTTACATTTGTATTTGTCTGGTCACGTGAACTAGTTGTATCCACAAACACAATTTCATCTGAAAGTCCCTTAACAAAAACACGTTTCATAATTGGTGTTATAATCACTATTATCCTAGGATTTTCCTTGAATGTAATAACAAAACCTTCCTCTTCTAATTTAATTTTCCTTTGCATAATCACTTCATTTATATTTTGTTCTGCTCTGTCACCATATCTTGAAGTTCTCCATTTTTGAAATAAATAGTATACATGATTATCAATTGGATTCAAATGACCATTCGCTAAGTATGTAAAACTATCTGCCCCGTATTTTTCTATCAGTTTCATTTCATGATATGTTTTTGCAGCACTCGGTGTCATACCAGATTCAAAATAAGTTTGAAAATTACGTTCAATATTAGGCTCGCAACGTAGACAACTAAATGCCTCAGCTACTTCAATAAGATGTTTAAAAGATACATTTATTATAATATTGAGTCCCCTTTTTAAATTTTCGTCATTTCTCTGTGTAAACCTATTTATTTTCTTTGCACGAAAGTCTATCTTAGCGGTACATAACTTATTGCGACTTCTATCTTTAGTTTCTTTGGCAGTTTTGTTGTGCGATGAATGCTGACATACAAATGTTTTTCGCAGGGCTAATCGTTTTATTTTAGGGTAAGTATACCTTACAATCCAATTTGTTCGAGTGAGAAGCGAAAATTTCATTAACCACTCATCACTAAACTTGTTGTAATCGTTTTCATAACTGTCTTTTAACTTGCAAATAATATCCAAATGAAAAATGTCCCGTGTTTCGTACTGAAACTTCGAAATTACGTGGTCGTCACAAACTTCTTGAAGAAAATCACTCAAGTCTTGCTCGGAAAGAGTCATTTTGGTAAAAAGCTTTTAAACAACAAAATGCTAATGCTTTTTTTAGGTTATAAGTAGTGATGGCAACACGTTACAACTAAATAAAACACGCGGCCAGGCGGTAAAGTAAACATTTCAAAGTTTCGTGCGAATCGGCTCTCGTGTTGCCATGCGGTATGAATTCCACCCATAGGAAGAGCAGAAGCCTACTTAAAATCATACCACGTGACAACACGTGTAGTAATTATAGGGTTAACACGCGCGTATTGGTTTATAAATTCATACGTGATTTCTGCGCTAGCACGAGATAGTATTTTATAAATAATTTTTAAAAAAATATGCATTTAATTCCTCCTGCAATTTAACACCTTTAGAGTGCTGACATACAGTATGAATTCATAAAGCGCATCTGCGCCTGATCACAGGCATGACTGGTCATTGCCAAGTACGGAAGCATCTTCATTGCAAGTGGCTGTCAGACTGTTAAAATCCGCGCTCTGCTGCCTCGTTGTGAACTACATTAAATATGTAGGTTGTCTCACGAGTAGGATGTGTCTATCAATTTAGGAGGATGCACAATGGGCCTAGTGAGGCCTAAGTGCAAAGCGGTTAACCACCCTTTACATGTTACAGATACAGCTTCTATTGTTTGTTTCTTATTTGTCACTTCTTCCCGCTGTTCTTCTTATACTTGCATACATTTATATAAAAATTGTAAGCATGGAAAATATTTACTAATGCACTTACTTGAAGATATTAAACTTACATGTTAAATTATTTCGATGTTCATTCTATTTTCAAGCAGGAAGTTTGTATTTGGATGGTACATATTAAAACTGAAAAAAAAATAATTATTTAAATATAATTAATCAAACTGCTCCAAATTAACATTTCAATGATCAATCATTGTTACAAATTCTTGAGTATTCATCAACTGAAGGAGAATTTCATACCCTTCCACTTCCCTATGTACTTTCCTATACCTATCTGTCGCCGTTATAAAATAAATTCAAAAGGAAGAAAATTACGATAATAAAATTTATTTGAAA